TTCCCTCATTCATAACTTCTAAATTTCTCATAAACTAGTTAAAGCTATACAGGCCTGCAGCTTGTGATCCACTACTTTTCTATTTTTAAGACTTCTGCAAGTGTATTCAGTACATATCCTATCTTTTTATTCAGAAATAAAGGCTAGATTTGCAAGCAGCTGACCTTCCTTCCTGAAATTCAGTACTACACATCTTCCTCTCCCCACCGATCAAGCAGTTCCGCTTTTCACTCCATTAAAAGTAGGAGCCACAGAAAGCTGACTGCTTGTTACACTGGTGCTCCTGGATGCATGGCACCTAGAACAGCATTCATGTGTAATTCCCTAAAGGTAGAAGCCTGTCAACTTACTTACCAGCTTTCATTCACCATTAGTGATACACTTCGACTGGTCCAAAGAAACACACAGACCAGCTCCTCAAATTCTCCCCAAAGTGCATCATGACTGACAGCAAAGGTAATACAGATGCACATACCGGGACACTCCCAAAAGAAAACTGCACTTGAGTGACCCATCTCTTCTGCGCTAGCTCCGAAGTCATCTTCATGCTGAAAAGCACTTAATGAAATCTTGAATTAAATCTTGAAATTAAAAGGACAGCTAATGAAAAGAGAACTAGTGGCATGCAGCAGTAGTATGGATTCATACCCAAACATGTTTTGCCCCGACTCTTTTGCCACATCTCCTCAAGCAGGGCAAGTCATTCAAAATAGTTATCTCCTGCAACATTAGTGAACTCAGACTAGCTAGACCCATCTAATCCCTAGACAAGAGGTATATACTTGTTGGAGGTCTTTGCCTTCAAAATCTCCTGTAAGATTGAAAAGAAACTCCTAAAACTACTTGCTCAGCAGCAGCACCCACTGAACTTTCTGGAATTTATTTTGCTTTTCAAAGGCACTGGCCTGGTTAAGACTGTTTTTAAAATCACTGATTTTTGCAGGGAATCTGGTAACATGAACTCAAACTCCATGAACAACACAGAGTCTTGTGAATGGCAGAGTGAGTAACTAATAATAAATATAAAGATAAAATAAAATCTAGAAGTTTTAACCAAAAAAGTAATTTCAAGAATGTTATCCATGGCAAGAACTGCAGTATTCTCTTAACTTAGTGAAGACAGGCTAGATTCTTTCAAGCTGAACACTGGAAACAGCAAGGAAAAACTTATTAATAGCAACCACAATTTTGTTCTTTGCACTGAGCACCATATAGGTCTGTTTTAATAAGTCGCCTGCTGACTAGAATGATAACCCTTGCAGAAGAGGAAATAAGGCCATTCTTTACCTGTCAAAGGTTCTCAGTAGGGAAATAGCACTCATTCCCCTAACATCCCTTTCCGAGGCAGCCAGATTCACAGCACATCACAACTTATGAATTAAACCAACAGATCTCCAAGATGGCCTCAATGTTACCATGGCATTCTACAAAACACAGAGCCAAGTCAGCAAAATGAAACACTATGAAATGAACAAGAACAAATGAGTTTTACTTAACCCAGAACGATAACAGCACGAGATGTTAATACAAATGTAGTTGTTTTGCAATAGTGCATAAAACTTCTATGTAAAAAAACAAAAACTGTATAAACATTCTGGGAATGAATTTACAGACTATTACAGCATTATGGTACCTGATCATTTGCGTTTAAATTAAAACAATGGGGAAAACCCCCAGCTAATTTCCCAACTCCTTTTCCCTTCACGACCATTAAGAATTCTAGAGCACCACACAGAAGTATCCAACATAACCACTCACTCCAAGGTATCAATCCTAAATAAAAACGCTATTCATTATTTCATAACCATCAATAGCTGGAGGGGTAGAGGGAGTGGGAAGCACTTTTTACATAGTTAGCAGAGTCATTTAGCAAGACTTATGAAAACCTGAGATAGACACTTTTCTTCACAAAATCTGGAGAAATGAAACTCTGTTCTAGAAACGCAGATTCATATATCAGCATATCATATATCAAGTATACAGTTCATTTCATATACCAAGATAGAAAGAGTGCAATTTGCACCCTGAAGTCAGTTATGAACTTCTAATTGACTTCAAAGCCATCCATTAGCTTTTAAACAAGCTTCTTGCCAGTAGGTAATACACCCCTCTTGCTCTCTTAAAACAAGAAGTAAACTTAATGGTTTTATTTGTTTGTTTATTATTTTTACTCACCGAGAAGATACAACTAAAAATTTCTACAGGCTGGGTACATTTTCATCTGCTCACTAACAGCATCAATAAACAGACGTAAAGAACTTAGGCCATATAAGTATCTGTCTGTGATGGTTACGCATTAATCCAAACCCTGGCACACCTTCTGTCGCACAAGGTGCACGCATGAAAGGAAGCATTAACCACCTCTATTAGTCATGATGTATCACTACTACAGCACCTCTTCCTTCTCCTCCCCATTATGTGTATAGTTCTATTTCTTGAGATTTTCCCAGAAAACCCTAATTAAAGTTACAAGCACCTGATTCAGTGTTAAAGCAGAATATACAAATACAGGGTTAAAAAAAACAGTTGGAGATTTTTTGGGGGATTTATTGATATAGAAGAATGACCAGGAGTATTATGAGGAATTACAAATTAAGAAAAAACAATTCAGTATTTGAATGGCTGTAAGGAGGAAGCCAATAGTAATAGTCTGACTTTAAGAATGGAGAGAAAGATAAAAAATACAAAAATCATATTGCTAGTGAAGTTTTGCCAGTCTCACTCCTGCATTTGGAAAAATACACCATTCGTTGTTTTCCCATTTTATGGAGGGACAGTAGACTTTCTAATAG